TTCACAGTGCTCTCTGGAGATAGGTGAACTATATCTCCCCTAATCACTGGTCAATTCCACTTAAATCCCTCCAATATCCCTGTTGGTTATGGGGTTTTTCATGGGAAATTTGGCCTAATTTTATCGATGGTGGGGTTCAGAATGCTCTTTGATTGTAGGTGAACTATGCATCCCAGCATCTACAACTCCCAAAATCCACCAGTGTTCACATTTGGGCATATTGAGTATTTCTACCAAATTTGGTCCATATCTATAATTGTTTGAGTCCACAGTGCTCTCTGGATGTAGGTGAACTACAACTCCTAAACTCAAGATCAATGCCCACCAAACCTTTCTAGTATTTTCAGTTGGTCAGGGGAGTTCTGTGTGCCAAAATAGGTTCAGTTCCGTCAATGCTCTTTGCTTGTAGATTAACTATAAATCCCAGCAAACGACAACTCCCAAATGACAAAATCAATCCCTCCTCCACCGAACCTGTGTTCAAATTTGGGTGCATCAGGTATTTGTGCCAATTTTGGTCCAGTGAATGAAAATACATCCTGCCTATCAGATATGTACATTACAATTCATAGAAGTAGCAAAATGACAGTTGTGAAGTAGCAACAAAAATAATGTTATGGTTGGGGGTCACCACAACGTGAGGAACTGCCTTAAGGGGTCGCGACATTCGGAAGGTTGAGAAACACTGTTTTAAGGGGAGAGGGACCCCGTACAGGACTGATGGACACACCTCCACCCCCAGATGAGTACTCGTGTCCTTTGCTTGATGTCTGGTTTGTGTGCTTTAATAAGCATTTCATAAAAATACAGTTTTACTGTGGATCTTTTATAGAAAGATGAGTTTTTGTTGCATTTTTGCAAGGCTTGTGCTTTTGAATTGTGTTGTAACTCACCTTGGGTTGAAGGGAAGGGCAGGTAAGACATTAAATAATAATAATAATAATAATAATAATAATAAGTTTAAGATTAATAATAATAAGTTTAAGGAGACAGAGAGCCTGATTCTGGCAGCCCAAGAACAAGCCATTAGAACCAATGCCATCAAAGCCAGAATTGAAAAGTCGACAACAGACACTAAGACTCTGCAAGGAAGCAGATGAAACAGTAGATCACATCCTGAGCTGCTGCAAGAAGATCGCGCAGACAGACTACAAGTAGAGGCATAACACCATTGCTCAGATGATTCATTGGAACTTGTGCCACAAATACCATCTGCCTGTGACAAAGAACTGGTGGGATCACAAGCAAAGTTACAGAGAATGAACATGCCAAATTCCTCTGGGAATTCCAGATTCAGACAGTCAGAGTTTTGGAGCATAATACTCCTGACCTCACAAACGTGTTAAAAAACAAAGTATGGATCATTGATGTCGCAATCCCAGGTGACAGCAGAATTGCCGAGAAACAACTGGAAAAGCTGACACAATATGAGGATTTAAAGATCGAACTGCAAAGACTGGCACAAGCCAGTAAAGGTGGTCCCAGTGGTAATCGGCACACTGGGTGCAGTGCCTAAAGACCTTGGCCTGCACTTAAACACAATCGGCGCTGACCAAATTACCATCTGCCAGCTGCAGAAGGCCACCTTACTGGGATCTGCACTCATTATTCGTCGATACATCACACAGTTCTAGACACTTGAGAAGTGTCCAACGTGTGATCCAATTCAACAGCCAGCGGAGTGTCTGCTGTGGACTCATCTTGTTGTGTTTCAAATAATAATAAGTTTAAGATTCATAGTTAAGAACAGACTGGGTAGGCCTGCTGGAAGAGATGTGTCTTCCGATGGTTGTAAAATTCTGACAACTGATTCAGCTGTGGGGGCTTTACCAGCAGATCATTCCAGTTTCTTGGATCCCAGATTATCTGGCAGTGTGGACTCATATAATCTGGTTTAAAGCACAAAACCTGGGATGAGATGGGGGGGGGGGAGGGGTATAGAGCTTGATTAAAATTTAAAACACTGGGTGTGAGCAGCAGTAACATGAATCTGAACAGGGGTTTTTAGAGGTTAAGGTAGGATTGATTGACCCAACAGATAGGATAAAGTGCTTCAGAGGACATTTTGCAGAACATTGGTCAGAACTAGGAGTTATTGTATATTCAGGGAAGGCACATTGGAACAACCAAGTTTTCAAGCTCGTCCTAAATACTGTCAAAGTGGGGGGGTTGCCTAATATCCTTGAGGAGTGAGTTCCAGAGTCGAGGGGCCACCATAGAAAAGACCCTCTCCCTTGTTCCCACCAGTCGCACCTGTGACAGGGGTGGGAGCGAGAGCAGGGCCTTTCGAGACAATCGAAGAGATTGCGTGGGTTCGTAGATGGAAATGCGCTCACGCAGGTAGGCGGGTCCCAAACCATTCAGGGCTTTGTAGGTAAGAACCAGCACCGTGAATTGGGACTGGAAAATGAATAGCAGCCAGTGGAGCTCCCTAAACAATGGGGTAGACCGCTCCCTATTATTCGCTCCAGTTAGCAATCTGGCTGCCACCCGTTGGACCAATTGAAATTTCCAGGTCGTCTTCAAGGGCAGCCCCACGTAGAGCACATTGCAATAATCCAATCTGGAAGTGACTATGGCGTGGACCACCACAGTCAGATCCGACTTCATGAGGTACGGTCGCAGCTGGCACACGAGCTTCAATTGTGCGAAGGCCCTCCCAGCCACCGCTGATGCCTGTGCTTCAAACGTCAGCGAAGAGTCCAGGAGGACCCCCAAGCTGCAAAACTGTGACTTCAGGGGGAGTGCAACCCCATCAAGCACAGGTTGCCACCCAATACCCCGATCCGGCATACAATCAACCTGGAGGACCTCTGTCTTGTCAGGATTGATCCTCAGCTTATTCTTCCTCATCCAGACTGACACAGCAGCCAGGCACTCATCCAGCACCCAAGGGGCTTCCTTGGAATTAGGTGGAAAGGAATAGTAGAGTTGGGAGTCATCTACGTGGAGATGGCACTCAACTCCAAAACTCTGGATGACCTCTCTCAGCGGTTTCATGTAGATGTTAAAGAGCATGGAAGACAGAATGGTACCTTGCGGGACCCCACAGGTCAAAGGCCAGGGGTCCGAGCAGGTGTTCCCCAGCTTCACCATCTGGGAACGATCCTCCAGGAAAGACCGGAGCCAGAGCAGAGCTGTGCCCCCAAGACCCATCCTGGAGAGCCGTCCCAGAAGGATACCATGGTCGATGGTATCGAAAGCCGCTGAGATGTCCAAGAGAACCAACAGGGTTGCACTCTCCCTGTCCAGCTCCCTGCAGAGGTCATCCACCAAGGCAACCAAAGTTGTCCAAAACACCTGGAGGGAGGGCCCAAGTTGGCCCATGCCAGGCTTAATGTTAGGCTGTTAGGAATGGTGGGAGTTGAAGTCCAAAACACCTGGAGGGAGGGCCCAAGTTGGCCCATGCCTGGCTTAATGTTAGACTGTTAGGAATGGTTGGAGTTGCAGTCCAAAACACCTGGAGGGAGGGACCAAGTTGGCCCATGCCTGTCTTAATGTTAGGCTGTTAGGAATGGTGGGAGTTGAAGTCCAAAACACCTGGAGGGAGGGCTCAAGTTGGCCCATGCCTGGCTCAGCGGTAGGCTGTTAGGAATGGTGGGAGTTGAAGTCCAAAACACCTGGAGGGAGGGCCCAAGTTGGCCCATGCCTGGCTGAGCAGTGAGCTGTTAGGAATGGTGGGAGATGAAGTCCAAAACACCTGGAGGGAGGGCCCAAGTTGGCCCATGCCTGGCTTAATGTTAGGCTGTTAGGAATGGTGGGAGTTGAAGTCCAAAACACCTGGAGGGAGGGCCCAAGTTGGCCCATGCCTGGCTTAATGTTAGGCTGTTAGGAATGGTGGGAGCTGAAGTCCAAAACACCTGGAGGGAGGGCCCAAGTTGGCCCATGCCTGGCTGAGCAGTGAGCTGTTAGGAATGGTGGGAGATGAAGTCCAAAACACCTGGAGGGAGGGCCCAAGTTGGCCCATGCCTGGCTTAATGTTAGGCTGTTAGGAATGGTGGGAGTTGAAGTCCAAAACACCTGGAGGGAGGGCCCAAGTTGGCCCATGCCCGGCTTAGCAGAAGGCTGTTAGGAATGATGGGAGTTGCAGTCCAAAACACCTGGAGGGAGGGCCCAAGTTGGCCCATGCCAGGCTTAATGTCAGGCTGTTAGGAATGATGGGAGTTGAAGTCCAAAACACCTGGAGGGAGGGCTCAAGTTGGCCCATGCCTGGCTTAATGTTAGGCTGTTAGGAATGGTGGGAGCTGAAGTCCAAAACACCTGGAGGGAGGGCCCAAGTTGGCCCATGCCTGGCTGAGCAGTGAGCTGTTAGGAATGGTGGGAGATGAAGTCCAAAACACCTGGAGGGAGGGCCCAAGTTGGCCCATGCCTGGCTTAATGTTAGGCTGTTAGGAATGGTGGGAGTTGAAGTCCAAAACACCTGGAGGGAGGGACCAAGTTGGCCCATGCCTGGCTTAATGTTAGGCTGTTAGGAATGGTGGGAGTTGAAGTCCAAAACACCTGGAGGGAGGGCCCAAGTTGGCCCATGCCTGGCTTAATGTTAGGCTGTTAGGAATGGTGGGAGTTGAAGTCCAAAACACCTGGAGGGAGGGCCCAAGTTGGCCCATGCCTGGCTTAATGTTAGGCTGTTAGGAATGATGGGAGTTGAAGTCCAAAACACCTGAAGGGATGGCCCAAGTTGGCCCATGCCTGGCTTAGCAGTAGGCTATTAGGAATGATGGCAGTTGAAGTCCAAAACACCTGGAGGGAGGGACCAAGTTGGCCCATGCCTGGCTTAAACTGAGACTGGATGACACCTTAGGATCTCATCACACTAGAGAATGAATCCACCTAAAATCCAGTTTCTGCTGCCTGCAGAAATTGGGGTTTGTAGTTTAGTGAGGCTGTGAAAGGCTCCTGCCTTAACTACAAAGCCCAGAATTCTGCAGGAGGCAGCAACCGAACGATGAAGTACTAATTAGTGAAGGTAGGGGCCCGAGGCGTGCGTTTGGGGGGCTGACCTGCGTTGTAGAAGCGGTCCAGGTTGTGGGTGTCTCCCAGCATGACGGTGCCGAAGGGGACGGTGTCCAGGTGGGTGGCGGGCACCTCGGCGCAGGCTTCGCGCAGGCACCGCAGGGGCAGCGGCTCATCCAGGTCCTCAGTGAAGACGTAGACCACGCTGCGGGTTCGGTCCTTGGGGAAGCCTCCTCCTCCTCCTCCTCCTCCTCCTCCTCCCCGGTTGCCCTGCCCCGAGAGAGGCTTGCTGGGGGTGAGGGCGATGGCCAAGGAGTCCTGCCAGAGGCTCCCGGCTCGGCCCAGCTGGCAGCCTTCCCCTTCCATGGCCCGGCAGGGAGAGAAAGGCGCGCGCGGCGGAGGGAGTTTGCCTCGAGTTTGCCCACGCCGAGTCCCGCCTCGGGAGAAAACTTCTTCGGGGAAGGAGGGGGCGGGGCAGGCGCAGCCGGAACCCAGGCGGAGGAGGAGGAGGAGAGCAAGCACAGGCACCAGGCCGGGCAGGACTCGCCTCCCCCGCCTTTGCCCTCCTTCCCCGGGTCCCGGAGCCGCGCCATTGCGCAAGAGGCAAGCCAAAGGCAACGCCGAGCCTCACCCTTCCACGCGCGCTGCACACACTGCCTCCCAGAGGTTGAGCCTCTCCAAACATGCCACTCCGGCCCTTGCCACGCTGCCCCAGGAGCTTGGCGCTGTTTGAGTGGGTGGGTCGAGGGGAGGGTAATAGTATTCATTGTTATGGGTCGGTGGGAAGGTAATAGTATTGATTTTTGTGGTTTTATAATTTTATGGATTTTATATCTATCAGCACATAGAAGATGGCTTTGAAAAGCAGCAGATCACAGGAGCTGTCTTCATAGACCTGTCAGCGGCTTATGATACATGCTGGGTTGGAAGGAAAAAGAAAGAGGGGCCGACCAAGAGCAAGATGAATGGATGGCATCCTTGAAGTGACTGGATTGACCTTGAAGGAGCTGGGGGTGGTGACGGCCGACAGGGAGCTCTGACTTGGACTGGTCCATGGGGTCACGAAGAGTCAGAAACAACTCAATGAATGAATAACAACAACAATCCCACTGGAGCATTGCAGCGTACCCAAATACCTGGGAGTCACCCTGGACCGTGCTCTGACCTACAAGAAGCACTGCTTGAATATCAAGCAAAAAGTGGAAATAATATATCATACGAAAGCTGGCACAACCTGGGGATCACAACCAGACACAGTGAAGACATCTGCCCTTGCGCTTTGCTACTCTGCTGCTGAGTATGCATGCCCAGTGTGGAACACATCTCACCATGCTAAAACAGTGGATGTGGCTCTTAATGAGACATGCCGCATTATCACGGGGTGTCTGCGCCCTACACCACTGGAGAAATTACACTGTTTAGCCTGGTATTGCACCACCTGACATCTGCCAGGGAGTATCAACCAATAGTGAAAGGACCAAGGCAGTGACATCTCCGGCCCACCCCCTGTTTGGGTATCAGCCAGCACGCCAACGACTTAAATCAAGAAATAGTTTTCTAAGATCTACAGAGACACTCGCTGGAACACCTCAGCAAGCGAGAGTCCAAAAGTGGCAGGCTCAAACCCAGAACCTCAATCAATGGCTGATACTAAATGAGAGACTCCCTCCTGGGCACACAGAAAACTGGGCGACTTGGAAGGCGCTGAACAGACTGCGCTCTGGCACCACAAGATGCAGAGCCAACCTTAAGAAATGGGGCTACAAAGTGGAATCCATGACATGCGAGTGTGGAGAAGAGCAAGCCACAGACCACCTACTGCAATGCAACCTGAGCCCTGCCACATGCACAATGGAGGATCTTCTCACAGCCACACCTGAGGCACTCCAGGTGGTCAGCTACTGGTCAAAGGACATTTAAAAGAATTCCAAGTCTGCAAACTTTGTGTTTTGCTTGTTTGTTTGTTTTTAATGCAATACAACTGTTTTGGTTCGCTCCTGACACGATAAATAAATAAATATGTATTTATGATGTATTTTAATTGTCTTTATTATTTGTATACTATATGGCATCTAATTGTTGCCAATCTGTGCACCGCCCTGAGTCGTCTTCGGGCTGAAATGGCGGGATAACAATGTTGTAAATAAATAAATAAATAAAAATAGTATGATAGCTGAGTCCGGAAGCTCTGAGCGTTACAGAGATGCTGCATCGCTTCTTCGGGAGCACTGTTTGTTCAAGAGAAACTTAGTTAATGTAAACCAGGCCGGAGACAGATAATACAGAAGGAATGTAAGAGTTCTTTAATGGTGAAACCCTAACCCTTACCCTAACCCTGAACCGTACCGTAAGGCTAAGCCTAACCCCTTACCCAAACTCTTACCCTAAACCTTACTCAAACCCTTACCCTAACCCTTACACTAACCCAAACCCTAAAACTTATCCTAACCCTAAACTGTACCCTAACCGTAACCCCTAACCCAAACCCTAAACCTTACCCTAACCCTTACGCTAACCCAAACCCTAAACCTTACCCTAACCCTAAACCGTACCCTAACCGTAACCCCTAACCCAAACCCTAAACCTTACCCAAACCCTCAACCTTACCCTAACCCTAAACCGTACCCTAACCGTAACCCCTAACCCTTACTCAAACCCTGAACCTTTTCCTAACCCTTACTCTAAGCATCTCCTCCTTTCTATCCTTCCATTGCTCTCCCTGCTCTCATTTTGCCCCCTCTCTTCCCTTATTCACAGCCACCTTTGCGGCATCTCCGTAATGCTCGGAGCTTCTGGACCCAGCTATTATACTATCACCAGTGGGAGAAAGAAACCCATCTGCATGGAACCGGAAATGTTAGACCAGTGTTTCTCAACCTTCCTAATGGCACGACCCCTTAATAGTAAAGGTAAAGGTTTTCCCCTGACATTAAATCCAGTGTTCATCTCCATTTCTAAGCCGAAGAGCTGGCGTTGTCCATAGACACCTCCAAGGACATGAGGCCAGCATGACTGCATGGAGTGTTGTTACCTTCCTGCTGGAGTGGTACCTATTGATCTATGCACATTTGCATGTTTTTGAACTGCTAGATTGGCAGAAGCTGGAGCTGATGGTGGAAGCTCACGCCACTCCCAGGATTTGAACCTGCGACCTTTTGGTCAACAAGTTTAGCAGCTCAGCGGTTTAACCCACTGCGTCACCAGGGGGCTTGACCCCTTAATACAGTTCCTCATGTTGTGGTAACCCCCAACCATAACATTATCTTCGTTGCTACTTGATAACTGTTGCTACTGTTATGAATTGTAATGGAAACATCTGATATGCAGGATGTATTTTCATTGTTGCAGATTGAACATAATTAAAGCATAGTGATTAAACACAAAATCAATTATGTTTGGGAGAGTATGGACAACAGATGATGGGATTTGCAGTACCTTCAACCGCTTCAGTTCTGACTTCCACAGACCACTATTTATTTATCATGTCATCTGCAACCAGAACATTGTATTACATTTCTAACAGAACAAAACAAACAAACAGATTAAAAAAAACCACACAAATTTTGCAAACTTGGTAGCTGATTAAATGTCCTTTGACCAGTATCTGGCCACTTGGAGTGCCTCTGGTGTTGCCGCAAGAAGGTCCTCCATTGTGCATGTGGCAGGGCTCAGGTTGCATTGCAGCAGGTGGTCAGTGGTTTGCTCTTCTCCACACTCGCATGTCATGGATTCAACTTTGTAGCCCCATTTCTTAAGATTGGCTCTGCATCTCGTGGTGCCAGAGCGCAGTCTGTTCAGCGCCTTCCAAGTTGCCCAGTCTTCTGTGTGCCCAGGGGGAATCTCTCATCTGGTATCACCCACGGATTGAGGTGCTGGGTTTGAGCCTGCCACTTTTGAACTCTCGCTTGCTGAGGTGTTCCAGCGAGTGTCTCTGTAGATCTAGAAAACTATTTCTTGATTTAAGTCATTGACGTGCTGGCTGATACCCAAACAGGGGATGAGCTGGAGATGTCTCTGCCTTGGTCCTTTCACTATTGGCTGCCACTTCCCGGCGGATGTCAGGTGGTGCAATACCGGCTAAGCAGTGTAATTTCTCCAGTGGTGTAGGGTGCAGACACCCCGTGATAATGCGGCATGTTTCATTGGCCAACAGAAAATATCGGAGGGGGTTAAATTTCAATTCATAACAATAGCAAAAGTAGAGTTATGAAGTAGCAATGAAGTAGCAATGTTATGGTTGGGGATCACCACAACACGAGGAACTGTATTAAGTGGTCACGGCTTTAGGAAGGTTGAGAAACACTACAGCCCATCTCAACAGGTATAAAAATGGCAGGCCCTTACTGGCTCTTTCAAGAGGCAGAGTCTTGAACCTGCTGCTTAGTAGGCATCTTAACCTGCAAGTGGAAAGTGTTCCACTTCCAGGTTAAGAGTAACTTGCTGCAATTAACAAGACTTCAGTTGCAAAACCAGATTTTAATAAGAGGGAGAGTACAAAAAAAACAAAAAAACATTGTCAGGCCGGAATTCCCAAAATTATCCAGCCACCGTGGGATTGTAATTTTTTTAAAAGCATCCTTCCAAAGATTTGGAATCTGTTTACATTTTTATATCCTGGCTTTACTCCAATCAAGTATGTCTGGTCTTCCTTGTAGGAGTACATATTTGGTATCTATAACAAAATAGGGTGCAGTGCTATTTACAAGCTTATGGTAGGAAACTAGAGAGAAAATAGACAGGATGCTCTGGTAAGCTTGAAAAAAAAGTAAAAACTTACTTTTATTGTTGCAGGTAAAAATTTCAGATAAAAGAGTAGGTAGACAAAAGAACGCTACTTAACTTTTTTGGTACAAAAGTCCCAAATGCCGACTCTCATTTCTGTGTGTAAGGCAGGCATGGGCAAATTTTCTAACTTTGGGACTTCATGGTGGGCTGGAGTGGAGTGGGTGGGCCGGGAGGGGGTTTTCTCTAAGTCGCCTCCTTGCCCTTTCCTCCTCTTCCTCTTTTCTTTCAGAGGGAGAAAGTGAAAGAAAGATGGGAAACGTTTGGATCCCAATGGGGTTAGCCTTTGTCAAGATGAGATGGTGGATGGGAGAGAAAAAGCATATCCACGAGACCCCATGTTGCCTACTCCTGATATAGAATCCTAGAGCTGGAATAGACACCCAAGGGGCATCCAGTCCAATCCCCTGCCATGCAAGAAGGCACAATCAAAGCACTCCCAATAGACAGCCTCTGCAGAAAACCCTCCAGAGAAGAAGACTCTACCACACTCCCGCCTAGTCCACTCTCCAGGAAGTTCTTCCTAATCTTTTCAGTTGAATCTCTTTCCCTGCCATTTGAAACCATTGCTCCCTTGTGCCCTGGTCTCTAGAGCAGCATAAAGTCAGTTTTCCCTCTCCTCCTCAAGGGACACCCTTTGAAATCTTGAAACATGATTCTCATGTTCGCTCTTTGCCTTCTCTTCTCCCAGGTAAACATCCTCCAGGAGGAAAGGAGGAAGGAAAAAGAGGAGGGAAGGAGGGAGGAAAAAAAGATTGGAAGGGTGGAAGGCGAGGGAGGAAGGAAAGAGAAAATGAAGGAAAGACAGATTGAAGGAAAGAAGG